CATAGCTGTTTTCTCGTGGAATATCCTGTTTCGCTCCATTACGTCACGTAAAATGGCATCTGCAACTGCCAGTGTCGGCTTTAATTACGCCACCCAGTTGTGTGACAGTTTTACTTTAATTTCAAGGTGTTTGGGGATTTTCAGTGTGTGAAACACATTTATTATGCCAGTGTTTTTTTTTGGCAGCCAGGCATAAAACATTCCTACTCGATACTCACACAAATGAGAACTCGTTCTCCATGCATATTTTCATTTTGAAAATGAAGACACAACACATTTCTTGTGGATTTGAACAGCGCAATTGTTATTATCTCACCTCTCCTCAAATCCGGAGACGGGGAGGTTTTGTTCGTTTGCGAGCAAATGCCAGCTTCTACAGTAAATCACATGACTGAAACTGCACACCAGATTATTTGTTTTCTTTCTGCCGAGATCCCTCTAATAATTCAGCTCCGGGACTTTTATTTGTTTTGAATCTGCAAACATTTAGATTCGAGGCGAGATGGAAGCTGAAAGCATCCGGTTTCTCATATCTTTGGTAAACAATAATAATTCACAATTAATTGCCTGTTTATGTTGTGACATTTGCAGATATGGGACCGCGGCATACTTGCCACTGTTATTTATTCAGTATGAAGTGGATTTATTAAGCAATATCATCTTTTTTATGATGAATTGTTTTGGGAAAATCAACGAATGCTGTCTTCAGAGTTTCCTTGTTGCTGACGTCTATTATTTATGATTTCAATAATCGTAGTGTGTCATGAAATAAACAAGCTCATTTATAATTTAGCATATTCACCTTTGTTCATTTCCTTGCTGTCATCAGCTCTTTTGGAGTCTTTTATAAGAAAGTTGAATAAAGCTGAATGTTGACAAGTTAGGAAAGACTTCTGATGTGTAAAGATGAACTCATCCTGTTTGTCATATGGCCTCAGGGCTTCAGTCGGACCTGACGGTGTTAAGTCCAAAACAATTAGCCTTTACACATGCGCACATACATTTTGAATAAGCGTTCAACATGTTTAGCACCGCCAGAGTTTGTAGTCTGGTTCAATGCACAAATGACTCTTATGAACAGGTTCTTCCAAATGAATCGTTCATATAGACTCCCCAACACTGACTCTTCTGATATCCCTCCATCTCTTTCTTTTCCATCATTCCCTTCATTAAAGGGGTGAAAGCGAGGTCACGGCGTGGAGCAAACGAAACGCTCATTGTTTGTGAGCCATTCCGTTCAAGCAGGTCTCAGACGAGTTCTGTTTACCTTGATTACTGTGACTTTAATCACTCAGTCTGACGAAATCCTGCTCGCAGGTCAGCGGTTTAGGCCAGAACATTTGTTTTGAGTCTTTGGCTTAAAGAGGAATCGATAAGGTTCTTCGGACTAAAGGTTAAGCGTGCTAACAGCAGGTTGATGAATGGCGCTCTCTGCTAATAGCTGAGGAAATACCCTTTCAGCGCGTGTCAGGGCATGAGTGATTAGCCTACATCTAAGCTAGCGCAAAGATAAACCCGTTCGAACGGTCTCGCCCTCAACTTGACACTCTGACTGAATAAGAGGCTTTGGGATCGCGATATTGCGCCCCGTCCCCCCAGTCTCCTCTTCTGTTCGCTCTGCTTTTAGCCGTATCTCGTTTCTTTAGCGTCTGGGTGCCGCTGTCAGAAGATGCTATCAGTGCGCTCGACTCTCCAGGGAGTCCGTCTCTCCGAGAATGTTCTGATAATGAGCGGCTTTAGATTTCGCATAGGGTTTCAGAGCTGGTCGGAGATGCATGCAAAGTCCACTGCATTGCATGTCCTTTTAGCAACGTCAAATACTAAGCTTTTTCCAGAATCGCAACATGACATGTACAGTTTTTTATCGATTGTGTTTCTGTGTGGGAAGCTCATGACAACAGTGCCACTCATATTTGTAATATGTATTTATTGGACAGTATATAATGTTGAGAGATTTGGCTTTATTTTGCTTTACATTTTCTCCATGCGAAAGCAAATATGGCAATATGGAATAATGCGAAAATACATAGGCCTATACTTCATTAATACTTTATTATTCATTGATTACAAATGGGTGTAACCTGAAGGGAAGTTTAGATTTGTTTATCAATTTTTATTAGCATGTTTTACTACAGGTTTAAATAGGACATTTTATAATATAGCTTTATAGCTCTAAATAGTTTGTATAATACTCCTGTGTATATGTATATATACATATATTATATACATATATATGTACTGTATATATACACACATACATATACACACACACACATACATACATACATACATACATACATACATTTATATATATATTACATACACATACATACATACATACATATATATATATATATATATTACATACATACACACATACATATATACATACACACATACATATACTTATATATATAATTTAATACTAAAATAATATAGTGTTTTATATCAGTCTAATTCATTTATTATGAACTTAATATAATTTATTATACATTTTAATAACAATATTAATAATAATTTAGAATTTTTATACTTTATATTTATTATGTAGCAATCAATTTCATTATTTAATAATCCTTTATTCATTCAAATCAATTATCAAAATGGATGAAATATTATTTAAATTTTATTTTACAATATAAGCCATTTTTCTTGAATTTCTAGGTAATATTTTGTGATTTTCGTTATACTGCAACAACTCTTCTATTATTTATATAAAACTGAAAGCCTTGCACCAGTGCACTTGATGGAGGACTGACGGATACACCAAAACCAGGAGATTTGATGTAGATTCGTGTTATAGGAATTTGCTGTTACTTTAACCCTGACTGCCAAACAAGTCCGTTTCTCCGTGTGTTTTCTCGAGCTGAAGGCCTGAGCTCAAACAATCACACTGGTGTGAATCAATGTGTGTTCGGGATGCCGAAGGGAGCGCGAGGAGGTGAAGAGGAGAACGAGAGGGAGGCTCTGGCTCAAGTCAGCGCGCTCTGATTCTCGGCTGGTTTATTGATTTTTCAGGCCTCTCTTGTTCTCTATCACTCGCTCGCTCCTGCCCTCCCAGTCAGATTCAGATGAGCCTCGTCCCAGCGGAGCATCGGCGCGGCTTATTTTCCTCCCTCATCTCCTCATTCCTCAGCTATGCTCCGTATTCAAAACGCTGAGATTTCTCCTGGGGGCTTCGAACAAGGAATATACTGTTACAGGCGAGGAGAAGGAAGAAAAAGAGCGAGCCGGTGTTACTAGATACCAGTGAAATCAAATCTATTTGACTTGCCCCTGAGCAACATTCATTTTCCAAGTAAAAAAACAAAAAAAAACTGCTGGATTGACTACGTGGAATGTAGCGGGTCTGAAATGTAACGTTCTCTCTTCCTGCACTAGACACAACAGCAGGTCTGAGATAAGAGCTTCTGTTTGAAGAGTCAATCAGCAATCTCGCTCTTTTCCGTATGAGCAAAACATAGTGACATCATCCCAGAGGAGCCTTTTATTTCATAGCTTTCATAGCTCATAGAAATCTAATTTGAATAGTTCACCCAGTTAGGTTCCCTTTAACATCCATGGAACCTTTCCATTACCTTTCCAAGGTTCTTTATAGTGGAAAAAGGTTCTTTGGATTTTTACATTTCCTTCACACTAAGAAAAAAAAAAAACATGGTTATTTTGGAAACTGTTTAATGAAAGGTTCGTTGGGGAACCAAAATGATTCTTCCCGTGCACCACGAAAACCCCCTATCTTGATGAGAAATATAAAAAAAAATCCTCTTGAAATGACTTTTGATTGCACCGATCTGAACACAGTTTGAGATGTTGCTGAGACACTCGACATGATTGCTCGTGTCTTAAAGGGATAGTTCACCCACAAATGGAAATGCTGTCATTAATGTGATGTCACCCTCATGTTGTTCCAGACCTGTGAATTTCTTTCTTCTGAAGATATTGTGAAAATAAAGCAAATCATACAGGTTTGGAATGACACGAGGGTGAGTAAATGATGACAGATATTTTATTTTTATATTTGATGAACTATCCCTTTAAGACTTAAGAAAAAGTATCAATTTGCTCTTCATTTATAACCTCATTGCTATGGAAGCTTGTTTCCGCCACAGAATAAAACATTTTAAAAGATAATTGTGACTTTTTATCTCACAATTGCGAGTTTACATCTCGCACTTCTGACTTTATTTCTCAGAATTGCGTGATTTAAAGTCAGAATTGCGAGGCATAAACTCACATTTCTGACTTTTTTCTGACTTTATAAACTCGCAATTGCGAGTTATAAAGTCCAAATCTAAGGGAAAAAAAAACGTTTATATCACACAATTCTGACTTTACAACACGCAATTGACAACTTTTTATCTCCCAATTGCGTGTTATAAAGTCAGAATTACGGGATATAAACGCAATTCTGAGAAAAAAATAATTTTGAGCTTTTTTTTTTTAGAATTGCGAGTTTATATCTCACAATTCTGACTTTATATCACGCAATTCTGACATTATAACACAATCTCGACTTTATATCACACAATTCTGAGATAAAAAGTCACAATTACCTTTTTTATTCTTTTATTCTCTGGCGGAAACGAGCTTCTATACATTTCTGCCTAGAACAAACAGTTCAGATATTAATGTGGTTTCTTTTGTGATTTTTGTTTCCTTTGGCAAATTGTGTCTTTATGATGTAATCTAGTGTAGTTTTGTTTCAGTCAGGAGCAAACGTCACTGAAAACTCTCAGTACTCCCTCACAAACCTCCTGATCATAGGAAGTAAGTTAACATCCCCCTCAGCACTTCAAAGAGTCCTTAGCGTGTGTGTGTGTGTGTGAACAAGCAGACAATAAGGGACAGTACAACAAGGGCAGTCTCAGATAAATAATAGAGAGAGAGTGGACAGAGAGAGAGGATCATAAATGTGCTTTTGTTTACTCTAGTATTGTGGCAGATGAAAAGCTTTTCAACAGTGTTGGTTTGTGAATGTGTTTGTCTGTGTGTTTGTGCAGGTTGGGCTTTGCCAACATTGTGGTGGCCAAATGTTCCCACAGGAGTAGTAAAACCTGAAATCACCTACATTACAGAACAGACCAACAGTTCCCATGTGGAAAATGGCTGAATAAGCATATACTAAATAATGTCTTAATGAAATCTAACAACGCAGAACGGTTTGTGTTTGGTGTAGGGAAAGGAAATATCCTTAACTCAGTATAAATACTGTGGAAGCCAATGGAAAGTCCCCATCACAGTTGTGTATGTGTGTATGTTAACTAGTAAAAATGGTCTCCAATAGTGAGATAAACCTGGCAAAACTACCTTTTGGTAGTTTTCAAAAGAAAAAAATATTCATATGATGAATTATTCATGTGATACCACGTGTTATGCTACAGTATATACACCTTTATTGTAAAGTTTAGTTCTAAACTAAGAGAGCGAGAATGTCGGCATTTAGTTTAGCTAGGCAAAACTATGTATGTGAAAAGAAAGTAAAAGGGATAATACTGTCATGTGCCACACACACACACACACACACACACACACACACACACACTCGGCAGGACAGAGGTCTTTCTTAATTAGAGTGTGCCAGAGCAATTAAAGTCTCTGTGCTTGACTAGTCCGGTCTGACACATTCTCTCATTTCACCACACAAAGCCAGTCCACAGAGAGAACAAGCTAACATCCCACAATTCTCTGTTTCTGAAATAATGAACACACTCTATCTTCAGATAGATCTATCACTTTAACTATCAGTCCTGCTAAAGTCCTTTCATGAGAGCACAGTGTGTGTGTGTGTGTGTGTGTGTGTGTGTGTGTGTTCAGAGGATAGACTCTCTCAGTCCTGTAATCTTTCTCTCTCTCTCTGTAATCAGCAGTTTTCTGGACGCTGCCTCCTTCTCCTACTTCTTGGGCTCTAATGTCACATCTGTTCCTTCTTTTAACCACTATTACGCAGATTTTGATGATGGAGTGAAAAAACGAGAAGGATGAGCCAAACTTACCTCATTCTTTTAGTGCCTTTCTATGAGCAGAACAAGCGGCACTAATATATATATATATATATATATTTATATAAAATATTAATTCATTTATATTAGATTTATATAAATATATATATATATATATATATATATTTTTTTTTTTTAATAAATAATACATATTTTATAACAAACGTTTATGTATATGTATACTGTATGTATATGTATATATAACTTTTAATCAGATGCAATCAGTCACAATATATATATTATGGAAGCTTGTTTCCGCCACAGAATGAAAAATAAAAAAGGTAATTGCGACTTTTTATCTCAAAATTCTGACTTTTTTCTCACAATTGCGAGTTTACATCTCACAATTCTGACTTTATTTCTCAGAATTGCGAGATATAAAGTCAGAATTGCGTGATATAAAATCGCAATTGCAGGTTATAAAGTCAGAATTGCGTGAAATAAAGTCGAAATTGCGTGTTGTAAAGTCAGAATTGTGAGATATAAACTAGATCTTAGGGGAAAAAAGTTTGTCTTTTCCCCCCCTTAGAATTGGCCTGATAACTCGCAATTGCGAGTTTATATCTCACAATTATGAGAAAAGATGTCAGAATTTTGATATATAAACTCGTAATTATGTGTTATAAAGTCAGAATTGCGAGATGTAAACTCGCAATTGTGAGAAAAAAAGTAAGAATTGTGAGATAAAAAGTCGCAAATCTGTCTTTTTTTTGTCGCAATTGCGACTATTTCTCAGAATTGCGACTTTATATCTCGCAATTGCGACTTTATTTCTCACAATTCTGACTTCATATCTCGCAATTGTGAGATAAAAAGTCGCAATTATTTATTTTTTTATTTTTTATTCAGTGGCGGAAACAAGCTTCCATAATATATATATATATATATACACTCACCGGCCACTTTATTAGGTACACCTGTCCAACTGCTCGTTAACACTTAATTTCTAAGCAGCCAATCACATGGCGGCAACTCAGTGCATTTAGGCATGTAGACATGGTCAAGACAATCTCCTGCAGTTCAAACCGAGCATCAGTATGGGGAAGAAAGGTGATTTGAGTGACTTTGAACGTGGCATGATTGTTGGTGCCAGAAGGGCTGGTCTGAGTATTTCAGAAACTGCTAATCTACTGGGATTTTCACGCACAACCATCTCTAGGGTTTACAGAGAATGGTCCGAAAAAGAAAAAACATCCAGTGAGCGGCAGTTCTGTGGGCGGAAATGCCTTGTTGATGCCAGAGGTCAGAGGAGAATGGCCAGACTGGTTCGAGCTGATAGAAGGGCAACAGTGACTGAAATAACCACTCGTTACAACCGAGGTATGCAGCAAAGCATTTGTGAAGCCACAACACGCACAACCTTGAGGCGGATGGGCTACAACAGCAGAAGACTCCACCGGGTACCACTCATCTCCACTACAAATAGGAAAAAGAGGCTACAATTTGCAAGAGCTCACCAAAATTGAACAGTTGAAGACTGGAAAAATGTTGCCTGGTCTGATGAGTCTCGATTTCTGTTGAGACATTCAGATGTTAGAGTCAGAATTTGGCGTAAACAGAATGAGAACATGGAACCATCATGCCTTGTTACCACTGTGCAGGCTGGTGGTGGTGGTGTAATGGTGTGGGGGATGTTTTCCTGGCACACTTTAGGCCCCTTAGTGCCAATTGGGCATCGTTTAAATGCCACGGCCTACCTGAGCATTGTTTCTGACCATGTCCATCCCTTTATGGCCACCATGTACCCATCCTCTGATGGCTACTTCCACCATGTCACAAAGCTCTAATCATTTCAAATTGGTTTCTTGAACATGACAATGAGTTCACTGTACTAAAATGGCCTCCACAGTCACCAGATCTCAACCCGGCATCTTTGGGATGTGGTGGAACGGGAGATTCGCATCATGGATGTGCAGCCGACAAATCTGCGGCAACTGTGTGATGCCATCATGTCAATATGGACCAAACTCCCTGAGGAATGCTTCCAGCACCTTGTTGAATCTATGCCACGAAGAATTGAGGCAGTTCTGAAGGCAAAAGGGGGTCCAACCCGTTACTAGCATGGGGTACCTAATAAAGTGGCCGGTGAGTGTATATATGTATATATTATTTTATTTTTTTTCAGAGACTTTTTTGCCTAATGATAATCCCATAATGGAACTTTTTTTTGTGTGTGCAAATTTATATTAATTCAATAGAAAGTTATTGTAGAGATTTTCTGAAAGATTTCTGAGATTGTAGAAATTCCGTGGACTTAATAGTGGCATCTATCCTCCTGACTATGGCGAAACACTGTCTGAGTCTTCAGTTTTTCACTAATAGCTGGGTTTCAGTCACGTGATTATGATGACGCGCGAAATTCAGATGGAGGGCAGGGAGTGAAGAGCGCAATGGATGGAGGAAAGTCCGTACTGTACTACTTTACACGCTATTACAAGAGAAAGAAATAAACAAAAATCAAACATGTGTTGGACGTGATCCTTACGTTATGAAGAGGAGCGATTTTTCAACTGAATTTAAAGATTTTCCTGCTATCGAGGCGGTAGATATCAGCAACTACCTCGTCTTACAGACATACTTTGACTTTACAAAGTTCGGAAACGTTACACGTTACACAAACATAGCCACTTAAGTTGTATTAACTCACCTTTGACGAAGTGATCACTGCACACACGGGTATTTTCCCATTCGGCTCCTCCCGACCGCAGACGTAGGTTTGCAAGCCGTTTTTCCGGAGTTTTTCGGTCAATTTCTTGCATTTTCCCCCCTTATGAACAACAACTTTTGGTACACGATAAAAACTCATCGTGGTTTGATTGATTTAAGAAACCATAAACGACGCAAAACATTGGCATTTTGAGTTTGTTATAGTGCTTTCTAAATACAGCAAATCACTTCCTGCCCTCCATTTGCATTTCGCGCCATGGCAACGCAGTGGCGTGACGTCATATGAAAACAAGCTATTGTTATATCATTAATAGACACAGTTAATTTAAAATAACCCCAAAGCTAATAATAGAAACACTATGTTGGTTCCCCCATCCGATCTGTGGAGCACATGGGATCTGAGAAGCTTTTCACAAAGAGCGCATGGGGGAGGAAACTTATAAAATGCAATATGGAGACTAATTAGAAGCTCTCCGTGAAGACAAGCACATTTATCTAACAGCCGAGAGGGACTTCTGTGTCTGTGGGGGAAACGGGACGTCACATGGGAAGGGGAAAGGCCAGAACACCCTTGGTATTTGCGTATGTGTGAAGTCGGGAGCTCCGTTTGCATCCAACTGGAATAAAACCAATACATCTTCTATTTTTATGCGAAGTGTCGGCCCTACAAAGCCTCCCATGATTAAAGAAAAACAAAGAGAGATTCCCCTGTTACCCACAGTTCCTCCAGCCGTCTGACAGGAACAATTAATGTTTGACCTGAATTCACGGAGAAATAGAAATATATTCAGGATTCTGAGCTGGGATCACAGGTCCCTCTTATTAGCTCTGATGGGCCTCGACACGGAATTCCGCCACTGGAATACGGAATGAGGAGACGCCGTCTGCCTGAGTGAACACGGAATTCTGGGAGTGAAAATTCTAGGGTTTTGATTCTATTAGTGTTATTTTCTCTTCTCCTCTAATTTCTTCTCTTCCTGTGTGAACCTGGAATTCTGGATGGGAATTCAGTTCTGTTGAACTCTTTGTTTTTCCACTCACCTTTTAAAAAACAGAGAATTTGTTCAAATGGGGGCGAATATTCTAAGGGTTTGAGGAATGGGAAAAGTGGGAATGGGAAAAGAGGAATGACTGTGATTGTTTAGATATATACTGAAATAGTGGTGTTGGAATTGTGTATGTCCACATGTGAGAGTGTGTATGTGCGTCAAATGTGATTTCTTAGATATGGTTGAGCGGTAATGACCTGTCAGGACACACACACACACACACACACACACACACACACACACTCACACACACACACACACACACACACACACACACACACACACACACACACACACACTAGTCAATCCATCCACTTGCCATTCCTAGTTACATTCAGAGAAAAGTTGCCCAAGCATCCTGGCTTAATGATGTGAGTCTGTGTGTGTGTGTGTGT